TTTTATGTAAATGATTCTTGTAGAAATTGAAATGTTTTCAATAAAATTCATCATTATATCTCCGTGAATGAAGAGATGGCGCATATACACACCGTTCTCGAGCACAGAAACTCGTTGAACTACTTTTGTCTCAATTCATGAAATTTTTTTATTGAAGGTTTTATTCATAACTTTAGTTGGAGTAGTTTGTCGCCGATAGTGTAGAATCAAAAAAAATCAAAACTTAGTTGATAGAAGGTTTTTATTGAGCTACGAATCTGGGTGCAGAAGAAGAAAAGACTCTCATCTACATCTGCGACAAAAGCTCGTTTCCATTAAATATGAAAAATTATATGAATAACAATTGGGCTCTGAACAAGATTTTGAATGAAATACGCGTTTTTTGTGGCTCTATATGAAATAAAAGCTCCCATATCGTTGTGCTAGTTAAGATTACGGCATAATATTGATCTTTTTCTCGTTCTCACATTTTGATCACTACTTACATATTTATATAGTAAATAATTCTCATAAATTACATATTTGCCAAGAAAATAAAACAAGAAATTGCTTATCGATAGCTGCATTCCACGATCAAGCATAGACAGTATCATACAAGTGAAATCAAGACACTCACTTTTTGTAGAATCACTACACTGTGAATTGCAGGAAGTTAATAAGACTTAGACTCAGACCTTGAGCATTCGTGCATTCAACTGCATAATCTGAAAGTGTATGTCGTTGACCCTTTCTTCTCAGTGAGTCATCAATGGAGCTTTTTTATTGTATGCATCAATCATCACATCGGTGTGTTTGAAATATCACAATTAACTTGTTCATAGTGATTACTTCAGAATTATTACTCTATTTATTGTGATCTTCTACTGATTTGAGAATCATTTTTTCAGACTACTGAACTCATGTATAAGAACCATGACCGTGTCTTTTATTAGAGTCCTGCAACCCGATGTGCAGGTGGACACAGGTTGATCTTTGAAAAGTGTCGAGTTTCTGTCGAGTTCGTTTTCCTAGCACAATCTACTGCACTCTATGTATTTTTCCATGATTGATTAAAAAGCTAATATGTGTAAAAGTTATCAGTACATGCTACCTATAAGCACTATTGGTGTGGAAACAAATTAATGATAGACAACTAATTATTTTATTTTCATTTGGCATAGATCAAATATGAGGAAGGAATTGCTCATTCAATCAATGAACAATAACAAGATATATCTAAGGTTAATCAATGAGATTTAAATCTTCACTGAGCTGCTACTATTCGTCTCTGATACCGCCGTTCTTCAATTTTCTCTTCAGTCATGTGTCGACCGAAAAACCAATCCTGAAAGTAAACAAATATGTGAATACCGTCTAGATTCGAAAGAAAGTACACTAACCTCTAAACTCATGTAAAAATCAAAACCATAAATATTCCACTCCTTGGGAATTGCTTTAAGTTCCTCGGATAGGGCATATCTATTCGCCATATTATCTGGTTAATCCGATTCAGTATGAAAAAAGATCACACTAGCACAAATATAGTTACATTGACGTAAATCTTCAAGTTGTTCATTTGTGAATCTCTGTTCCGCTTCTACAAGTTCTAAATATACAGAATCTGGTTTTTTTTTCATGGCAAACAGTATAAGTTAAAAATCATATAAATGAATTGCAAAGTTCGAATTTTGTCTTCATTGTTTCTATCACTGTATTTTCACATACGCTTAAAATTTAATTATTTCTTTTCCTATTGAATTATATTTCTAAGTCATTTCTTGACCAGAAAAAACTGGTTTCTGGTTCTAATAAATGTAAACAACTAAATAGAAACGTGATTTTACACACAGTGAGTACCAAAATTGATCAACAAGCAGAATGAACTTTTTTGGTGAGTTCATATTTCAACAACTGTATGAGTTATAATGATATGGTTTTACCCATATTGTGACCCATATCATCTAGAATATATATAGAAAATTTCAAGTCAAACTGTCCTTCTGTTCTATAGTTATAGAAAAAACAGTCAAAGGATGTGGTTTTTGACTGTTCCCAAATCGATCAACAATTTGTCTTTTTGATTATCTACGGAATTTTTTTAACTTAATATTTTTGTTTATAGTAGATCACTGGAAAGGACAAATTCTTCTTTACACACTAGAATAATTTTTGTTGTGTCGTCTCTTTTAAGAGTACTTGATTAGGAGTTGTTTCTGAAATGCACCGATGATATACTGAAAAAACTTGATAAACTGACATATTTTATTTTATTTTTCAACTGATTTTTGATTTCCAAGGTATCATTAGAAAAAGCGTACAAAACTGTATCAGAAATAGTGTTTCATTAATTATTTTTATCCTAGAAGGTGAAGGTAGTAACTTCTTGCAGACATGTAAACCATACTCATTTTGTACAGAATTTATTATGTTCTCTCCTTTTCATAGGCAGTGTGATATCAAAACTGTTTGCAAATACTGCAGATTTGTAGAGAATTGTTTTCTCTACAAGTTGGTTGTGTGTTAAGGCCACTCCCCCCCCCCTCTCTCAAAAATAGATCTCAGCCCAGGAACGTCCGAGTGGCATGAAATTTTCAAGATATGTTGGAGCTGGTGAACCATGGCTATGGTAAAATTTTCAGTTCTGTACCATGATGTTTGACGGAGATATCGGCCGAACAAGGGTAAAAAAACAGCTGATTTTGTCTGCAAGAGTTCTCTGGGGGACTTCATTGAATATATGTATATTTTTTTTTGTTTGAAAGAGCGCCAAAAACTGCACGTGCTCTGAGTTTCCTCTTTTTATATTCTTGCTTTTTAAGTGCAGAAAAGAGATCACAAGCTCAATGTCTCAAAAGACGCGCCAAAAATGGGTGTCTATCAGAGGTCCAAACAGGCCCACTTTTTGAACGCCTGGCCTGCCTGTGGTGACAGGCTTACCCCTCTTTCAGCCTGCCTGTGCCTGTTCTTTGATTTCCTCGGCCTGGCCTGCCTGCCTGTATAGGCCTGTGTATTTTTTTCACGTCAATATCATGATATAAATACCATAGGAAGAAGTAGTAATCTTCATAAAAAGTCTTATTAGTCACTGAATTCAATCTACATCACTACATTGAAAAGTCTCTAATTGGAAAGTCCATAAGAATTGTCGGCTTTCCAATTAAGCAAAGGTATCATGCTTCTTTGTAATTGAGACCATGTGAAACTAAGGGTAGAACAAAGACTGTTCATTTTCAAAGGTACTTTTTGTCAGCCGGAGTATAAAAAAAGCATAGTTTTCAGTTCACTTAGGGTGCGGGCGTAGATGGTGTGGGTGTGGGTGGATATGGGTGTGGGTGTGAGTGTGGGGTGTGGGTGTGCGGTGTTGGTGTGAGTGTGGGTATGGGTGTTTGGGTAGGTGTGGATGTTAGCCTCCCCTTTATTCATACCCATACCCTCACCCACACCCACCCTCGACGGTGAGAAAATGAAAAGAACAATGTAATTATCTTTCGACAGAACATTCTGTTGACAAAACATTTTGTCGATGAAACATTCTGTCGATGAAACATTCTGTCGACGAAATGTTTTTCTACGAAAATTTTTCGACAAAATGTCTTTTCGACGAAATGGTTTTCTGCAAAACAATTTCGACAAAAATTTTTCGACGAAGTTACTTCGACAAAAAGTCTATCGACGAAAAACATGGTATTCGATTAAATTCATATTCATAAAAGCTTACTTGTCGAAGATGTAAAGGATTATACTATTTATTCAAATAAATCGAACGATAATCAACGGCATTTTTCAGTATGAATTCTTCTGAATAAAAAGGGTGTGGGTGTGGGTGTGGGTGTGGGTGTGGGTGTGAGTGGCGGTGGTGTGGGTGTGCGTGGGTGTGGGCGTGGGGTGGGTGTGGGGTGGGTGTGGGTGGGGTGGGGTGCGGGTGTGGGTGGGGTGTGGGTGGGTGCGGGTGTGAGTGTGGATGGTGTAGGTATGGGTGTGGGTGTAAGACCAAGATATTTACCCACGCCTACACCCGCACCCACACCACCCACAGCCACCCACACCCACACCCACACCCACACCCTCACCCACCCTTCGAGTTCATATGTTTGAGTTCGAGTTTTGAGGCTCGAGTTCAAGTCGAGCTCGAGTTCGAGTTCGAGTCTAAACTTCGAGTCGAGCTTTAATAGTATCGAGTTCAAACGGTTTGAGATTGATCCATGTATAATCAGAGTCGAATGGATATAAAGAAAATTGATCTGAAAGATGTCATCACGTAGCATTTATGCATAATAAAAAAAAATCAAAAAATGTTTGAAAAAAACATTCAAAAATTTTAAGAAACATAATCGGTTCAGTATTATTGTCTTTGGTTGAAAATGAAAGTAAAAATTCTATATTGTGTTTTAAATGTTAGGATGATAATACGCATACAACACAAGTCATATAAATTTATACTGATGAATATGTGAACAAAAATATGCGTGTAAGACAAAAGTTTGAATATCGATCTCATTAAAGGTTTAATTTCAAATCTTCAATCACCTCTACAACAGATGCTTTAACTGACACCTTTTAATATCAGTTGAGATTTAGTACAAGAAAAAACTGCAGATTCATTCTCTCAATTGTATTCTAGGCACATACTGCAGTTTTCTTTTCTTCCATTTCATTAATGACCAACTTAAACCTGTCATTATGCTGTAGTATGCTCTCACAATGTTTGTCAGATGTTCGAATCTATCATTAATTCTCATTTCTGCTTGCAAGTCAGAATAAGGTCAATATACAAAATGGACTATATATTATATTGTTTAAGACAATCAGCCATGACGAAGACGAAAAATATTTTAGACTAACCTGATCAGTAATGCAGAAATATCCGACTAGTCATGTCTGCCATGTCCATTTATTTTTTTTTTACTTGACCTGCTTGGTTGCTTTTTCCATGCAATGTCATCAGATATTGAAGTGAAATAATCAAACTATACTTCTTGTTTACATTTATCTTATAGGAAACATTATCTTTTGCATTAAACATGATGAATTTGGATTTATTACCCAACGAAATCTTACTTATTCTATTTGCTTATTTTAATGGTATTGATCTTCTTCATGCATTCTATGGTCTCAATTCTCGCTTCAATCTTCTTCTCTACAATCAATTTCAAGCATATTATTTTTGTTTTTCCTCCTTGTCCAAACGTAAATTCGCCATGATATGTCAACAACATTTACCATTTATTTGTGATCGAATTATTACTCTTACTCTTACTGACGATGAAGATACTCCAGAAGAAATTGATTTATTTTTTTCGTATATATTATCATTCAAACGGTTCACTCACTTGCGTACACTTACGCTGTCCCATATTCATTCATATCAAACATTAATAAAAGTTATTAATTAATGTCAACATCTTTCTAATCTAAATCATTTAAACTTCTATTTCTATTCTTTTCAAAATTGTCAAATTGACTTTCGATTTATCGTCGACAATATTTGGAGATTACCAAAACTCACACATTGCAATTTTGGCATACACATTCAGAAACAACAGATTTTTTTATACACCAACAAAAATATCTTCCACTCTCAAATGTGTACATATGCATGGATATAGTTTTACGTGGAATCAGATAAATCAATTGTTTGAATGTACACCTCGTCTCAAATCTTTTACGTTGTTGATTAAATCTATCATCCATGATGATTATATACCATTTCCTCTTCCAACACTAATCGATTTGAACATTATTATTTCTCGTACATTTGACACTTCAAACATAATTTCTTTATTACAAAATATACCCAATTTACGACAGTTGAACGTCAACTTGTTGCATGGGTTAATCAATGGTTATCAATGGGAACAAATCATTCGTAATTATTTACTAAAACTCAAAGTATTTAAATTAAAAATGAATGATAAACTTCTTGTCAATCAAAATATAGAAGAGTGAATCGATAAGTTGATTAACTCATTTCGAAGCTCATTTTGGATAGATGAACACAAATGGTTTTTCCGATGTTTTTTTGCAGATAGATCAATTTATCTTTATACTTTATCTGAAGCATTTTATTACAACGATGAAAAGCCTTCTGACTTATGGAAATCAACATATCCATATGACAATCAACAAAAGTTTTACAATGACATCACCAAGATCTATGATGACACATTTTTTGACCATTCGTTTCCCTCTAACATTCGTTTGTTTAACATCGAGCTCCTCTATATAAAATTTCCTATTAATGATCAATTTTGGTCCATTGTTCCAAATTTGAAACGACTCACTTCACTGAAAATATTATCTCATACCGATACTTTTCAACCTCATTTGCAAGCCTTACTTGATTATGCACCACGTTTACAGTCTCTAAGTATCAGTCGAAATCAATCATTACCATTGCAAATATCATTATTTAAGTATAGAAATGTCTCAGTTCGTTATCTCAATTTAAAGAACTATAATTATCAATTCAATGAAGAAGAATGTCTTAGATTGAATTACTCACCATTAGGTGTTCAATGTGAAGTACTTTTTATTAATGTTAAAAATCGTGAAAGTATTATGATCCTTGTCAAAAATATGATTAATCTTCGAACATTACATATTAAATGTGAAGATGACAAGTATTCTAAACATTTGTCATTAACAGAAAATGTTGATGAATCTCACAATGCAAATACATTAAACAAAGATGACCTTGTTCAATGGTTAAAAGATAGTTTAGCATCAACATGTTTGATTGTCACTAATCCAGATTTTGCCAATTCTATTTCAATTTGGATTTAACAAAGAAAAAATATACGTTATTGCGATTGATTTATTATAAAATAATCATTTTCTTAATGTGAAACATAATTCTTATTTCTCTTCAAAACTCATATGAAAATTATCATGCTAAGTTTTAAGTTTTTTGTTTTTTCTGTATATGCATCGTTCAGCATTTGGTTCGAATTCGTCTAATAAAAACAATTAATCATACTCATTCATAACTATTTTAAATCTAAAAGAAATATGATTGATCGTTTTGAATTCCTCTTTTTAAAATCAGATCCAATCTCAGGCGAATCAATATGTGTTGTAAACATTCTTGAATTAAGATCGAGCATCTATTGAGCCAAATAATAATGAAAGAACAAAACGCCATCATCTAATTTGAAATAAACCCTAATCTATATATTTATTACACTAAATATACCAAACTGTCTACAACGTACATCTCCATGTGAGTTTTTCTTTGAAGTTAAAAAGGAACATCTCTCGAAAATTAGTAAGTAATTATCAAAAGCTGCAAAATTGTCTCTTGTTCTATATTGAAAGGCTATATCTGATCATACAAAACATCCACCCAAGGTATCAAAACGAGATTTTACTAAATAAGAATAAAAATATGTGCAGATAATACATAATAAAAAGCAAGAATCTTATATGTTTGTAAACTGAAAAATGCTAAGTTCATCTAGAAACTGTAAAACTTTGAAGAGGAAGTTTTCATGATTGGAGAAATTATTAACATGTGAAAGACTCTATTGCACGATCAGACAATATCAGAGTCAGTAGCGTTTCAGCGTAAGAGCCTATAAAATAGCATTCTCGGATAGTCCTTGAAAAAAGTGCAGAGCAGATGAAGCATTCGATATCCTAACAAGAGAATATTCTTTCAGGCTGAAAAACAGCGTATGACTGATGAGACGAGATCTGCAACCATAGTCACACCGTCTTTTTCTAATACCAACGTCGAGTGCTATCCAACGATAATATAATCAATAACATCACAATACTTGCACAATCAATAAGAAGAAAAATAAAATGACGTATAATGCAAAAGGTGCAGTAAAGATTAGTGATGAAGCTTGAATGTGTACGTCGCAAAAAATAGCTTTATCTCTATTACACTATTATCCATAGAGGATAAAAGTAATTCATGTCTCAGAGAGAACTAATAAGTATAATAATATCTTATTGTGTCTTGTGATAGACAAGATATTGGTGCCAGGCTAATATTGCTAAACAGGTGTTCTTATTTTATCAGATAGTGTCAATGAGAAAACGAAAATAAGAATAATGATGATAATATATATGAACAAAAATGAGAGCAGCTTTTTTTGTTTTCTGTCTTACAAACAAATAAAAACGAGTACTGTAACTGCAGGTGAAAGAACGTCAAGAAATCAAACTTTTTCGAATCCGATTATTTATCAATTCTAATTTACTAGCCGAATTTGAAGTAAAATGAGGTAAAATCAGAGTTTAACGATAAAAACAAAGATGTTTTTCGGATGCAAAAATGTTTATTCCTCAGATCAAACTTATTATGTTTGGATTCTATTCGAAATTCCTAAATTCTTCTCAATTTAACTAAAAAAATCCTCAAATTGCTCAGGATGCTATCCGTTTTGACAGTCTGATTCTTCGTTTTTGGAATAGTTGAAAATGAATTATATTATCGGTATTTTCAATATTTCTTTTTTTCCGTAAAACGAACTCAAATACATTTTATATTCTAGACACTGTAGAACTATAAAGAGGCTAAATTTCAAGTTGAAATTCAGTAACTTGACTCTAGATTGCTACGGACTGAAAGTCTAGAAAAATGACTTCTTGGCATGATTCAAAATGGTTTTAATACCGTCATGAGCGACTTACACAGATAATATAAGGTTATAAGTTGTTGGCTGATTTTCTCAAACAACTTGAACGAGATTTAATAAAGAATAAGAGTGTTGAAAAGATGAAGTTTTTTTTTTATTTCAATTCGCTATTTAATATCTTATAAAGAAAACGTTAAGTTTGACAACTCATATAAGTTTTTTTTTTTATCACATTTACATGTAGATCTCAGTTTTTTTGGTGGTTTACTTTGTTACTATTTTGAATATTCAATAGAAATTTGTGATATCTACGAGTTTGTTTAAAAATTGTTTTGAACATGGGAATTATATTATCTTGAGAATATTCATGACAGATATTGTGATGAAAAATCAAAAAAGAATGGCGAAAAAAATTTGTTAGTTTTCCTATATAATAGAATAATATGAAAACGTACTATTGTTATAGGTACCAACAGTCACACATTGATGAAAGAATTGTAATCCTTCGTATCATGGTTTAGTACTTTACAACCATTCTTGGTTTTGACTTTATTCAACAACTGTAAATGAAGTTATGGTGCCAGAAATTTGTTGAATCTGAATCAATTTTAGTCTAGGTACGCTCAAATAAGATGAAATATTCAGCCCTATATCATGACGTTTGAAGAAGATATTCACTAAACAAGGGTCCACAGAGAATTTTTACTTGCACGATCAAGAAATCCTAAATTGAGAAAAAACAAAAAAGACTGTTTTTTTTCTGAAAGCACCATACCTGTCGAATAGAGGATGTCGAAAACCTCCAAAAATTTTTTTGGAAAAAAAAAGGTCCGAGTAAAAAATTACGTCATTTATGAAAGAGCGGACCACGGGCTATCTCCCTATGCATTCACCTTAATTTCGATCATTCTGACGAATATTTATTTTATTTGAGGAGGCCTTAAAACAAATATTATTCATTATTTGCTTTTTTAAGACAGTCATTTATTTTTGTGTATTAAAATAAGAATAATTGTATATTAGACATATCAATTTTGTTTAAATTTATAGATTTTTATTTATTCTCTCCTATGATCTAACGTTTATTTAATATGTAAATATAATTAGTATCGATAAATGAAATACTATTTTTAAAAATCATTGTAGGTGAGATTTTTATAATTTTTTTAGTCACAATTTGATACTTTTATTAATTATTATTTATTTTTGCTCTGTTAAAAGTAGTCAAAATTTACTTCTTCAATTTTGCTGGCTATAGGTTATTATGATAATGAAATTAGATATGGTATCAAGGTTCCTAAATGAAGTACTATTGGTAAAAAGAAATGAGAAGATAAAAACATATAATTTTGCCGTATTTTACTTTCACAGTACAGTGAGGGTAAAGAAGTAAAACAAATATTTATTTATGTTCTCTTTTTATACGTATCAAATAATGTGACGTTCTTTATATCCTCATATTTATTTCTAAAATATGCACTTATTGATCTCTTTTGCTCGTTCTCTCATCGTATTTATACTTTCTTCTTTTATTATGGTAAATTTGGCCATGTGATGTAAAAAAGACTTGTTCTATTGAAAATGGATCAGATTTTATAAAATATATCCACTTTATCAATCTCTAGAAACTATTTGAGGGTAATATAAATTGATAGTATTATTCTACATAGCTTGAATTCACATTTGTAGTTATAGATGTAATTATATAGATTGTAATTTTTTTTAGATGTCAAAAAACTCATCAATTGATCAAAAAATGAAAACAAAATCTGCAAAAAAATCGGAGTCTGGAAAGAAAGAAATTGACCCGATAAAAAACTTTTTTGCTGGTGGTGTTGGAGGAGCTTGTCTTGTTATTATTGGACATCCACCAGATACAATTAAAGTTAGTTTAATAATATATTATATATACATGAATATAGGGCATATTATACAAAAAAAATTTTTTTTTTTTCACATTTAGGTTCGTTTACAAACAATGCCCAAACCGAAAAAAGGAGAAAAACCTATTTACACAGGAGCTTTTGATTGTGTAAAAAAGACTGTGAAGAAAGAGGTTTGTTTGTTCTGTTATTTTCTTAGCTATAGTCAATTTTCTTTATAGGGTTTTTTGTCACTTTATAGAGGTGTGGGTTCTATGTTCGTAGGTATTAATTGATTTTGATTAAAGATAGTTTTAGATATAGATTTGACTAATTTTTAGGTGTAACACCAACATCAGCTTTATCTTTTTTTGGTAATAGTATTGGAAAAAAGATCCAAACACCATCGAGAGATGATGGAGATTTTAGGTTAATTAAAATTTTATATTATTTTTATTATGTTCAAATTTTGAATTAATTTATTAAATTAGCTTACCACAATTATTTTTCGCTGGTTCAGTTGCTGGAGTTACCAACACAATTGTTTTAACTCCTGTTGAAAGAGTCAAATGTTTACTACAAGTAATTATTAAATATATTTTTGATATAAAATTGATTTTTTTAAAGGCTCAAGAAGCAGCTAAATTAAATAAAAATGTCTCATCAACTGAATATAATGGATCATTTGATTGTGCTCGACAATTATATAAAAAAGGTGGAATTCAAAATTTATATCGAGGTGCAGGAATTACAATTATTCGAGGTAGAATATCATGAATTATGAATATAATTTAATATTGAATTTGTTAATGTAGGTATACCTCAATGGGGTGTTTACTTTTGTACCTATGATGGTCTTCAGAGAGTGTTAAAATCTGAAAAACATCCGTAAGTAATGAAAAATTCAAAAAAAGTTTTTAGAATTATTTTAGTTTTAGAAAAGAGAAACTAAGCACATGGAGAACAATCTTAGCCGGTGGTACAGCTGGATTATTCAGTTGGCTTATAGGTATGCCAGCTGATGTATTAAAATCAAGATTACAAAGTGGTATGTCAAAAATTAATGGAAAGTATTTTATTATATGTTTTTTCTTGTCTTATAGCACCCTCTGATAAATATCCAAATGGTGCTCGCGATGTTTTTCGTGAATTAATAAAAAAAGAAGGAGTTGGTGCACTCTACAAAGGTACTACAGCTATCTTGATTCGAGCATTTCCTGCAAACGCGGTAAGTTAAAATAATTTGATTTGTTAAAGTATATTTTCATCTCTTCTATCTAGGCATGTTTTCTCGGTTATGAAGTGGCAATGAAAGCTTTGAATCATCTATATTAATAGAGTTAGATTTGTCCTGCTCAATTAAAATTCAAGACTTGGTTTTTATCTCAAGTTGAACAAATTCACATCTATTTATTTGATTCAACAATTGTCTCATCGGAAAAAAATTTTCTTTGTATATAATTAAATTTTTTACCATCAAATTGTTCTCAATGTTGTATTCAATAAATATCTACGTTTTTCTAAGCTCTTATGTATACTTACTGTTGAGCAAATTTACTTGTTCTAAACACTAGTTAAAGTTTAGTTTTGAATGCTACCGCTAATGTAGTTAACAATATCAATGTTGGATGTCTTGTAAATAGTTATTACTTGTTACCTAGCAATACATAGTACGACATGGAGGATGCGACATATGGCTGTTAATCTGAATGTTGAGGTTGGTATGGGTGCAGGTGTGGATAAAGCGAACGCTCCAACCAACATCTACTCATAGCCATTAGCACCTCACATCCATCCTCTGACTCTTCGATCACCACGAAATCATTTAATAATAAAAGTGAAATAGTTATTATTGCTATTATTATATGAAAGTAGGTTTGCTTCTTTTTTCAATAACGTCATCAAAAACGAACCTTGTAAGCATCAGCTGTCGAATATCACACAAAATGATTGTAAAATATTCGACAGGTGATGGTTCTTTTTCATATAAAATTTCTTGAAATTTGCGAGCTAATTGCATAGAATGCAAGCAATGATGACAGTTGCAGTTTCATTATTGAGTTTACTATTGATTGGTTTAACAATGGGTCAGATTCCAAACCCCAGTCAATATCGATTTACTTTGACAACGGATGGTAGAGCTCAAGAACGCTATGCTATCGATATACAAGCAGGTAAAATGTCTCGTTTATGGTACTCAAATGATGGCGATGAAGAGTTTGGTGGCAATCAACTAATATATGTACGTGATGATACTCGTACTTATTTATTTGATTTTATGTCAAAACCACCACAATGCATTGCCAATAGAGGTGGTCCATACAATGAAATGAAGTATTGGCCAAATCTCGTTCAATCATTTGGTGGTGAACAGAAAATATATGATGAATTAATATTTGATTCCGATTGCGATGGTACTTGTCTTACTTGGAAAACAGAATTTAATGAAACATATCATCATTATCGATATGTAAATCAATTGTATGTCAAAAAGGCAGAACAAAAGCCAATCAAAATGGTTATGAGAAAATATGATTTGGATACAGGAAAACTGCTGTCAACATCTGTTACGAGATTTATCAATTGGATAACAGGCAAAGTTCCTGATTACGAATATGATTACCCAATGGACTTGAAAACATGTTTTCAACCATAATTTTTCTTGTTTTCTTTTTCTTACATTCTTGAACTACGTGTATAAGAAAGTATTAATGTGAAGCAGTCAGCATTCGAAAGAAGAACAGTAAATTTAACTAATGAGGAAAGGGTCCTAAGTAATCAATTGCTTTTCCATTGATACTGTATTCATTAGATAAGACATAGTGAGTAGAGTAACAATCTAACTTTGAATTGTGGATTAATCGTAGCTTGTCTTTGAAATGGATCGATTATGTATGTATGTAATTGAGTCCTCGAAGGAACTTTTCAAAAAAATTTATCCCCATATATTTTAATAACAGGCAAAGGTGACCAATTATTACGTTCATACACTGCTCATCTTTAACAATCCGATTCAAAAATTCTTCATTGGTTCGGTCATTAAACTTATTCATGCATCGATAACAAACCTGTTCGGCAAGTGTACGCTTTTGCTAGACCACCCGTAGTCATTGTTCAAGATTGATTCACGTCAATGTCGGACGATGGAGAGATATTGTCAGTGTGCTCTTCACCAAGTCATACCGAGTAATTTGACTTCTTTAGCTTTGCGGATGATATCGATTGAACTGAGATAATGTCTATTCCAATAGTGATGATGCCATTGTTCGACTCATCAATATAGACCACTCTTTCTATGTAAATAATTTCTTATCGATTGTTGCTATGATTAAATCTGTGCCTCTCTCGTGTTTTATAGAAGACAGCCATATATTGTAAGAACGTATTGAATAAACAAGAATCGAGACTGATTCAATCAATCGTTGATCGTCTTCAGATTGTTTGAAAATATTTCAGACAAGATGGTTTCAGCGATTGCGTAGGTTCATCTAAAGAGATGATGTATGTTTATTCAAAACTTTCACTCGAAAAAAAAAATTCTTTATATAATTCTTTCTCACAGCTAAAATCAATAATATTTGATGCTCTAGATTCGAAGATATTTTGTATCCTTTGGTAAATAACAGTCAAAGCAGATTCAAATTTAATGATCGACAATCCGGCGACGATGATCGAATTTGGTTTTAGTTTTGTTTAGTATCTAATTCTTTCAATTCTGATCAATGGAAATTGCTTGTTGATAATAGATCAGGAACTTATGCACCTGACCGTTTACTTCTTGTTAAATTAAAAGGTTTATTCGCTTTGAATTTTTCTTAATCAAAGATTTTTACTTACTATTTCGAAGATCCGCAATTAAAATCGAGTATTGAAGCTTGTCGATCACTTACTCAATCATCTTTATCGAAACCAATTGAGAAAAATTGAACAACTTCTCAAATCAACAACTAAAAGTTTTCCATCAAACTGAATGATAAATCACTTTGAACAGTGTTCTTCGATTGATTCGGTGAGAACTCCAAGAAATCTCATTTTGACTTATTTTGATCTTGATCGAATACAATTCTTTTTCGTGTCACTCTTTTCAAGCAACGATCAATATTCCTTTTCAGCCGATTGTGAGTTGATTGATTTCATTGATCCAAATAAAATTAATAGACTAGTGGAAGCATGACTCTTCATGTCAAACTTGTATCCGTGAAGGAGCAAACTAGAAATTAAAACTCCAAGAGAAAAGAGAACTGATAACAGATGGTGTGGGTGCGGGTTCTAAGTGAGTTGTGGACGGACTGGTGGTGGTTGTGAGGATCTTCTCTCCAAGGACACACCGACACGCACACCAGAGCTGGTAGCCTGGCCTGCAGACCAGACCAAAGGTGGTGACTTGGACGTGACATAATACTAAATTTCTCAGTAGTCAACTTAGACAAAAATTAGCATAACAAATCAATAATGCTGACTTTTGACATTTGCTCTTCAGTATTTCTACAAATCAACGTCTTTATGCATTCGATAGCTTTTCTTCTTCAATTCTTTTTATTTTTGTTACCATTTATTCTTTTCACATCAAGACTCTTTGATGTTTTCCTATTTTAAAAACATTTACTTTCGATGTTTAGCAGCTGGCATTCATTCGAATTCTAATTATGTGAAAAATACCTATAATGCTCCTCACTACTTTAGTTAGCTGTTCTGAAAAAGTTTGTTTCTCAATTGAAGAGCTCCTTGGTTCTAAAAAGCACTCGAAATCAAAATCACATTTTCAGTGTCTGTTAATGAAAATAAGATAAAGGCATTTTCAGTTCGTTTTCCAAATTAACACATTCAACATCAATTAAGATAAAACATAAGACAAACATGAAGCCTTTAATATATTTTGTGAAATTCTCACTGTTAAATATTTGAGATTGAAGACTTCACAGAACTCAGTACTTAAAAAAAAAAAATCGTTTGCGTATGTACTAATATTCAGATTCAAAGAATGAAAGAAAGATCTCTAGAAATAAATTTTAGGATTTCAGGATTTACTTGACGGAGTAGAAAGGCTTCAGTATTCTTTCACAGTTCAGGTCACTTTTCTAGTTTCAAAGATTTTTAAACGTCAGTGATAGTTTCATTTTCGATTCCTATTTTTGAAGAACCGTTGACCTGTATTTTATTATTTTCACGAAAACAAATTCAATAGATTATTGAAACTGATATCACAGGTTAATAAAAAAGTTGTAAAAGTAATGGATTTAAAAAATCGAAAACACTAGTTAGCCTCTTAGCAGCTCTGGTTTCTAAATCTCACATTTGTAAGCATAAAATTCTAAGACGAAATTCCTGATGCGCCACCACAGTTGATCATTGCTATGATGGTTTAAAAATCGAATGATTTTTTAATTGTTTATTGTATTTCTTAACTTGACACTTTTTTTTCCAATTTGAATATTATATGGAAGCATGTTTTTGAATATTCTTGATAACAAGAGAAGTGTAAATTTCTGATATCGTACTTTTCTTTCCTAAAATGTTTTCTGAAAATTAATCAAAAAGAAAATTGAACTTCGAATAACTTATCTATTATAATATAGTATTACTCTACTTTGAACAAAGTATTTTATGTGCAACTCATTATATCAAATGATTTAAATCATGTTCATATATATGTTTCATATTAGATGTTTCTAGTTTTATTTTTTAAATCTTTTTAATCGAATGCAATGTATACAAAAAATAGCTAAAATAAAATTTTCTTTGTTTCTTTTATATTGAATTTTATATAAGAGTTTCGATTTGATCAAGTAATTTTAGTACATCTCTTGCAAGTGCATCTGCTAAGCCATAATTTTGCAATTGTCGTTGTATAATTTCTTCACGATGTGTATATTGAATGGCTGTGTATGTTATATGAAACATAAGATCTTGTTCGTTGGTGTTCACCATAGTTACTTCTTTGTTTCTTATATCGAGTTCTGAGTAGTTGCCTAATATAAAAACTTCATGAATATAACGTCCAATGATAATATTGTATAACTTTCGTATATGTTTTGCTTGAATTATTAGAATAATTCGATATCGTTTGTTTTTGTTAATGAAATGTGTTAACTGGTTAATTTGATGACAAGATTTGGAAGGGATTCCAGTTTCTTGAAGCCTTGGTAAGATACCAAAACAAAGAAATAAAGCTCTGATGTCTTGCTTCCTCATTTTTTTGCAGCAGCGAAAAAGAAATAGTGAGTTATGTTGAATGTACAATAAAGAAAATGGCGTGCTCTTTGTTTAACATATTGCATAAAAGGTCTTTTTGTTTGTTTTTTCTTGCCAATATGTTGAACTAATGACATGAAAATGCTATTAAAAATGATTCAACTTTATTTACAAAAGAAAAAAAATGACTTCGTAATACAGCTAATTTAAAAAAATTGTTTTGATGATGAACTGATTCATGGACGATGCTGTAACTATTATTATAAAGTACCGGTATTCGAGTACTTCGAACAAAATTTCTATAGAGCCTTTATATATTCGATTGGTTCGTGCAAACTAGTTGTTAGTCTATATTCTGTCCAGAATACTTGTGCTACAATCACTTTATTTTAATATAAAATGACATTTTAATAGCACATATTGATTTAATACAAGTTTCAGAAACGTACTATTGACTATTGCATAAACTAAAAAACGGAACAGATATATTTTTTTAAATGATGCCTATCTTTTGTCTAGTAATTTAAAAAGTAAACAAATTGTTCATATAGAGTATTAAGTTATTGTTAATCTGAAAAAGCTGTCTTTTTTTCGACTGTAAGAGGATTTTCCAATCTAGATTGTAGAAATGGAATTCAAAATAACCTTCCATTTATATGCTTTAAAAATGAAATAGGAACACTAGTCGTATTGTGTTGAATCGTTGTCTACATATAGAAGTTGTCAAGACAAATGTATACAAAAATGGTTCTGCTAATATCTATTTATCTATCGAACTCATAACAATTTTATGATACATGTTGTACGAATGTTTCCGCTCTTCCGTATCTCCAAGCGCAGTCAATAACCTAGATAAAAGAAATTTACAGCCTTTTTATTTTCAAGAAGACACTTGAACATCGTGACTTTTATGGCCATGTCTTTTTTTTTTTATTTTCCTCGTTCTTGAACTCTTTCAGAAAGCTGTCACACTAACATTCTGGGTGAAACGTCAAAGTGCTAAAATGGACAATTATTTGAAAAGGAAACATCTTCGTTCAGATAATATTTCAATATAGAGTTGCTTGATTAGTATCTATCATCTGGAAGACATATATTGAAAGAGAGTGAATGTTTGCTTTTCTTCGAGATAATGGAACAAATGGCAATACTGCTTCAAATTTATCAGTTCCATTGTTTCCTGTTTCAATTTGACCTGTAATGTGTTTTCTAATACGTACGAGTGGTTTTTCGCAAGTCTTAATTCGTCAATGATTCATCCATGTTATTTTCATTTTTTGCAATTCAACAAGAATTAGTTAGCGAAATATCCAATTAGAATTCTCAACCTTCGTTTCACTATAGAAGAGACGGAGAATAAAATAAATAAACTCTGATAAACAGCAACAAAAATGATTGCCATCTTATCAGTATGCATCTTTAGGCACAACAAGAAATACTAAACATAAACAATAATGCGAAACGTTAATCAGCGCTGTTTCAGTTTTATCATATCTAAATTCATGTTTGCCAATGCATTTCTAAACAAACATATCAACTGTTGTGTACAATTACACAAACACAAAAAAAAGTATGACATTGTTTTTTAGAATTTATTTGAAAGCAGCTTCGAATGTACAAAGAAGAAAAAAGTACACAAACAAAAAAAGAATTAAGAGAATCAAAAAGAAAAAAATTACATGTCTTCTGAGATCATTAAAATGAATTGGTTACTGTATTGATACTGAATAGTAATTGATTTAAGTAAAGTCGAGATTATTGTTAAAAAATTTTGATATATTACTTCCAACAGAATGCTCCACCAACTTGAAATTTTTTACAGCAGTCAACGAAAGCACCACTGTCGAGACCATTGTATCGATTTGAACACTTTATAAAACAAATACATAGAGAAAACGAAAATAGTTAAAGAATGAATGAATCCTTAGATGTGTATCAATACTCTGGGAGAAAATCACAACTAATAGCATATGTTCTCATTATGCAAATTAAATTGCCCTCTACAATATTATTTTCGTAGTAAGTTTTCAAAAAATGGTCTATACTCTACATGAAGGGTGCAAACATATATACAGTATGAGTATGAAGAAAAAGCATATTGTCGAGCTGTGATATTCATGATGGATATACCTGATTATTTGAACCTGGAAAGAGAGTAAGATAACCAAAACCAGGCTGTTCTTGACAACATGCTAACGTTAGACTATTGTATTGATCACGACTGTCTTGACATTTACAATTGTATCCAGCAAAAATATTAAAACAAGACAATGTCCAATAGTAATCTTTTTTTTCATATTAATGATAGTTGAAAACAGAAAGGAACTCACCTTGATGTCAACAAACCGAGACAAACAAGTAGAAAGCATAATGAACGCATTATATAGTTTATGTGTGTGGTGAACAATGATTGATAGTAACCTTGATCGTGTATCCTTATAGAAAGTGAACATTCAATTTATACTGGCTCTTTCAATTCGAGGTAATTGACATGTCGTCAAATGAATCACATTTGGGAATGTTACCATTTAGATAAAAAAAAGATCCCCATCGATATGTATCTTTTGACGCAGTAGCTATTTGAATGATGGTGTATACGAGTTTATTTTTAATTTTAATTATATGTAATGATGTATAACTACCACATAATTATCTTGTCATCCATCAAAGAGTTAATGAATCAAAAGGTACAAATATATGGATGTGTATTTTTCTTTCTGTTCCGTGTGAGAACATCCTCATATCTGATTCACCGATTTCTTCATTCTTTACCTGTGCTGCTGATGTGATACCGATTTCGTATGATTCAAAGAACAAGTATAAATATAACTCTCCTTTTCTCTAAGAATGCACGATCAAACTTATTTTCAATTATTGTTCACCACATACACATAAACTTTTATTTATATAATGCGTTCATTATTTTGTCTAATTATTTGTCTCGGTTTGTTGACATCAAGGTAAGCTTCTTTCTGATTTCAAACATCATCAATTTGAAAAAAAGAAAGATTAGCATTCGATATTGTCTTGTTTTTAGTATCTTTGCTGGATACAATTGTAAATGTCAGGATAGTAATGGTCAGTATAATGGTGTGACAATGGAATGTTGTAGGAGACAAAAGTATTTTAATCTTGCCACTTTTTATGGTCAAAATAATCAGGTATGCTTACACATGTAATCATTGTTCGAACATTTTCACTTTTCTTTATAAAGTGTACAAACCGATTCAATGGTATTGATAGTGGTGCTTTCGATCAATGCTGCCGAAGTTATGGGATTGGTGAATCATATTGTTGGAAATAATCAATGAAACTCCTGCCTTTGAATAACTTTCAGTTCGGTCAAATCAAATTATCTGAGAAGACAAGCAATATTTTATTTTCATCTCTCTTTTTTCTTCTATATAAACCAGAAACGGCTTTGAAATGAATTTCAACAAAGTGTTCAACCTCTTTTTCTGTTGACATGAACTACAGCAGTGGTAATGGAATTTATGTATTTTTATTCAAGTCCAGTTTTTTTTCTACTTGATACTGTAGGGTGGGTGTGGATGTATAGGTATGTTTGACTATTCTCTTCTCTCCAGATGCTACAGAAAAAAAAACAACACTGTTACTTCGAATATGTGATGAGAAAATTTGTTAACATTAAAATTTTATTGAGTCCCAGAAACCAGTAGTTAAATGATTTATGAAGTGTTGTAGTCGCTCATCGGTTCTCCATTCACATAAAACGGTGCCCTGTCTCGTCTGTTCAGAAAATGGAGACCAACATCAAGTGATTCGAATGATATCTATATTACCAAGCAAGTAATATGTTTAGTCTAATAAGGTTTAAATCTTCAATAACGTTGAGCAGAGCAATAGTTTTTTAAAACCAGTGTATTTTTATAATAGTTGAAAACAGTGGATTTGCATCTTTCAATTCAATGTGCTCACTTCAAACAGTGTACGCAGATATAAATATGTAAAAAAACAGAATTCTTGATCTGAATGGTGAGGCGAACTTTGCATTTCGAAATTGAATTAAATAACCAGTCCGATTTTTTTGAGTATCATTCGAATTCGTTTCATGCTTAGATAATAGAGGAAATGATCATTTCAAAAATTAAGTTAATCAGACTATATGGGAAAGAATTCAATTAATAATAATTTGAGTTGCTAATTATAATTTTATTTCATGATTTTCTGCAAACTGAGCACATGAATGAAAATTCAACTTGCAACTATTCGTAAAGTTCCTTTGTATTTACTTTGTTTGTTGTTGACTGAATAATAGAACTCGAACTATTATTATTACATACATAAACCAATACTTGATGTCTTTGCATTGTATTGACAACGAGAAACAACTTTGCTTCGAAGCTCAATAGACATGAAAAAGCGTTCCATATTGACTTTGTAATGATTATTTTATGCCTTCTTAGGAATGATAGAATAGCATCGTATTCAGAGAGAAGATTCACTAGCTTGCTCTTCTCTCTCGTCCACGATAGGAAAGGAAAACAATGACGGCTCAGAATAAACTAATGTAGAATATTGAGCGTTGGTGGTGTAACGGTTAGCATGGTTGCCTTCCAAGCAGCCGACCCGGGTTCGACTCCCGGCTAACGCACAGTTGTTTTTTTTATTATTAAAAATTCATTTTATCTTCGAAAGAAATACTACTAAGTCAAACAAACAACAAAGAAAAAAACCCATGAAAGTTTTTGAACATATACTTAGAATGATCAAAACGTTTTTGGAACATCTTCATGTTTATTAAATAAATGATATTTCCAAGAATCTCATTCTATTATAAATGTTCAAAGTATTTGTTCTTAATAGGTAAGTTGAAATGAGAAAATGATATTGGATGGATGTATGAGGCTATTATTTAGACCTATCATCATCTATTTCATCCATTCTGAATCCGCTTTTCTCAGTCACTACAACTCATCCATCTAATGTCACTCTCACCCACAATTAAGCAGGAATTTTGTTTGCAAGGGTGATATAAATTTTTAACAAAAAATCGAAATATATAAATAATATCAATATTTTCAGTTCGAAATGCTCGATTGAGTAAACGATAAACAAATGCATCTCTCATATACCATTTAATAGCTTGATCAAATTGATATTCTTTTTCAAATTGATCAATAATATCTAATTGATTTTGATTATTACTATAATATGATCGACATTGTTCAATCATATCTTTTGTTGCTTTATTATCAGCTTCATCACTCATTCGAACAAGTGTATCGACTAATATGTCAAACTGTATGATCGATGGTTGATCGTCACTAGAATTTCGAATAGAATTTTCGATGAAATTTTCATTTCTAGTTGATTGAATAATATCTTTTTTTAATTTGTTTATTAGATTATTTGTATTTATAAATATTCCATGTATTTTATTATAATTCTTGGTCAATTGTTGATATTTATTTTCATTGCAACAAAATATATAGATATATTCTATTTGTGATAGAGAATGAATTTTCGGTACAATATCCAAACTAAATAAGCCTGATGTTATTAGAAATAATTTTTCTGTAGAACATTCAATAATATAAGCCATGTATTCATTGATATTATCGAATGTTTTTATATAATTAATAACTGTTCGAAAATGTCTTAATGTTTCAAAATATTCATGGGATTTATTTATTGAACTATCGACCCATATGACAGTAAAATCTTCAAGATTGATATCGCAACGAAGAATATTCGGCGGATAGGATTATTGTGATTCTGAATTATTTTTAGATAGCCCCGCACGATGAATTATATTGTATGGTGTTGATGGAGGTAAAGGAACATTTTCATTTGTATCCATGTTCTTTCACTTTTCAGAGATAAACGAGAAACTAAACAGAATATTCATTCAATAGTTCATATCAAATATTCGAATAATATAGAATGAGTCAACTGTGATCATAAATACAAGATTTGAACTGTTTCTTATTGGCTTTCGTACTTTAAGATTTTTTTGAAGCGATACAATTTTGAAATTAAAGAAATTCCAAACGCGAACAATTACATTTATGATGATAGGGAAGTTTTCTTTCACATACATATAAGAACGCTCTGGAGTGAAAATTGATGGACATCCTTCACCATATTTAATTGATACGAGTGGTAATCTATACTCGTTCTTTTTTTGTTAAAAAGCTTTACATAAATAGCAAAAGACTTATTTATGCATTGATAAACTTTCTATTCGCTCTAAAATGATACAATAACCCTCAAAGACTCCTCGAAACAAAATTTTGTTTTTTTCTTTCACGAAGTAATCAAATGATTGTCATCATTGTAAAATACAAAATATTTCGTTAAATATATTCAAATCTCTAGCTACCATTTTCTTAATTCATTACTTAACCTATTAAATTCCAAATAAAAATCTAAATTACAAAGAATATTATTTGTTTGGTTCATTCATTATTCTGTCATATGAAATGTATTATATTTCATTTTGATTTCTACAAGACAGTTCATGATAAAAACTTCATCAGTGCAACCCTGAAAAGGGTAAAAATGTGGAACTCACATAAGAATTTAGCACCAATAATGAAGAATATGAATAGGTATGAGAGAGATTATAGACCATAAACATTGAAACTCAATTCATAGAATGAAGCGGCTCTTTTTCTAAACTGATTCTCATTACATCCTATGCAATAATGCGTTAAATAAATTCAGAATATCTAGTTTTGGTTAGTACTGTCTGTAAAGAGAATCTTTCGAAACTGGACTGAAACTTATACACACTATGAAAAGTAATAACATTTTGACGAAACATATAAGGTTTTGTAGGAAACTTTTCTTCTATATAGTAACGGATGCTAACCAAAAATTAAGTCAATTTAGGTAAAAAGTCTGTGTCACTCATTTTATTGACATGCTGAAAACTTTAAACATCGATATAAAAAAAAATTAAACATTTACGTTTTCTCTTCCTTACTTGTACATATAATGCAGTCGTGATGAATTGTCGTCATCGAACTCAAAATAAACATATATTTTCTTTTCTCTAGTTCAGGGACTCACTTTCCATATAAGTATTTATATAAGTCGGTGTAAACAGTACAGTGATGTAAATACATCATTAATACTTATATTGAGACAGGAAGCACATGGTTATTCTTCAATTAAAATTGATCGATCCGGAATTTCAACCAAAGAAAGAAACGAAAATCCCATTTATTGACTTCAGTGCTTTGAGTCGAAAATAGTTTTTGAAAATGATATCGATAATTAGCAAGTATTTCAGACCAAAAAGATACTTTATTGGCTGGTTCTTAATTATATTAACGTTTAGGAACAAAACTCATGGTGATCAAGAGTATACTACTGTGAAACATGACGATTAGTGTTAATGTTCATAGCAAGAAAACTAAACTGTCCTTTCAACACATCTTATGGCCTGTGACCGGCATGGTGACTTACTTTTTCATTGAACGAAGATATACTGAAACAAGGGTGTAGTTGTGTGTCGATATAAATGAACAGAGTACAATGACTATAACTCAGCAAGAACTGAGTAGTAAAAGAAATCTTTGTTAGCTTTTCATAATTTCACTCGGATGTATTTAGGAGCAAAGCGTTATCTCAAAACTCTATGAGAGATTGGGTATGGTACAAGTGATTTATTTTTAGCTACTAAATCCTTCTTCTAGAGTCAATATTTGAAAGAGAATACCCAAAAAAAATGATCTGAATAATAAAACTTCTTCAAAGAATGCGAAAGCTTCATTCAAATATTAAATTAATGACTCATTTCATTTTTCTTTTTCACTTTCTAATATAAGTAATAGGTGAATCAAAAGAAGACGCACAATATTTTCTTTCGTTCTGTTTTTATTTTGTCACAGGTAAAAAGAAATTATTCTGAGAGTAATACTCACAATTGCTTATATTAGTAAGACGTAAAGTTGTAAGTTACCAATAAAGAATATTTTTATTTACGATGTCAAATAACACGAGTCCATCAATTCAAACATTACCCGTAGAAATACTGCATCGTATTTTTGATAGTCTTGATGCTCAAACAATTTTATTTTCAATTCGACCAGTATGCCGATTATTTCGAGCAATGGTCAATACTTATGATCGGTATTTTTTGGATTTTAAGTCAATATCAAAGTCAAATTTCCATCTATTGTGCCGTTTAATCAATCCTCAAAATGTTATATCATTAAGACTTTGTGATGATGCATATACTCCAAATCAAATTGCTTTATTTATTTCATTGGTTCGTCTTCGACAATTTACTCGACTTCATTCAATAACGTTTTTTGGTATTGAAGAATTCCAATTGAATATGATTTTAAAACGTATCAATTTAAATTTATTGAATTCATTTTCATTGAATATTCGAGAATATGATAATAGGCGAAGAAACACAACACTAAGTTTTCTTTCCTCAATTTTAACACAATCCAATCTTCGAAATGTTGAACTGAATATAAGAAATGATCGAATATCTAGTACATTATGGCCTGCCACTTCTAGGATCGAATATTTAATTATAGATTCAGATATTAGTTTTCACAGTATATTCACTATTCTTTCATGTTCTCCACAACTGCACACACTCATTTTGAAACAAAATTCACCAACTTTAATTGAGAATATGAAACAGAAATATTCTTTTCCACAATTAATTTCATTGACTATAGAAAACCTAGATGTTAATATTGATCAACTTGAATCATTTGTTTTCCTAATGCCATCACTTATCTATCTAAAATTAATAGGTCAACAATATGTATTTGATGGGAAGCGATGGGAACAATTTATTCAAATAAGTCTTCCTAATTTGAACAATTTTGAATTTTTCATTGATATTTCAAATTCAATCAGTCAAACTCAAGAAAATCTTCAATTAATAATTGACTCATTTCGAAGTCCATTTTGGATTGAATATAAAAAATGGTTTGTAGCCTGTCAGTATACTCCTAGTTATCCATATACGACTCAAATATATTCGATACCAATTTGTAAATCTATTGTTCAATATGATGTGAATTCAAAAATTATAAATCTTTCTAATTCGACAACGTTCTTGACCTATGATCCATTAACAATAAAGAATATTAATGAAATTGTTTTATCACTGGGCTCCTCGACATATGAAAATACGAGAGAAGTTTGTCATGAAATTTATTTAACTGAAATATATCTCTTTGTTTCTTTGTAGAAATCATCAAGAATCAATGTTATGTTTTCTAATGTAACTAAAATTCATGTAAAACTTGATAACAAACCTCCTTTGGATTCATTAGAAGTTCTTACTAAAGTAATCGATGTTTCGAAATTGGTTGAAGTTAAATTACAAATCCGCTATTTTAAACAAGATATTCAAAATCTTTTGTTTGAAATTATTTCTTTTCTCGAACAAGCGTATTCTCTTTCGTCTTTGATATTTTATGGAAATTACTATAAAGGCGAATTGTATCCATATGTGAAGCATATATGCTCAATAATTCCACGCCAGATCAAGCATTTACAAATACCGATCAATCAATTAGATCAAATCGAAGCCATTTTGGAACGATGTCAAAATCTTTCAGTTATACAGTTTGAAATAACACGTTTGAAATTTTCTCAAGAGGTCGTTGATTGGTTTAATCAACATACTATTGATTCAACAATTCAAAAACATGCTAGATGTAATATTATATGGATTGGAAAGAAAATAAATCATATTACGGATAATCATAAACGAATTAAGTTAGATGAAAATCAATTGGACTCTTAATATATTTTGCATGTTTGATCAAATCCGAATAAATAAACAAAAAAACACATTTTTTGAATTTATTGAACGTCAATTCTTAGTTTCCTAAAAATGATTTTCTAATCGAAGTCTATCAAAGCACTTGTCCCACTTTATTATCCTTGTGGCAGGTGAAGACAAGCGGCTCATCCAGACCCATACTCCGCCCTATCCGTACGGTATATACCTTTGATAATAAAATGAATTTTTCCACCTTATCCCAAAGATATGGGTGTAGGTTATGGTTTGATTTAAACCGAAGTGAAGTGGAAACTTGTAAAATCGAACAGAACCAAAAAATTAATTCTTTAGAATTTCCTTAGTAATAACAAAAACAATGTAGGCTTTATTATAATACGTTTGTCTTATTTCAAATAACTTTTAACCGAAGTCTTACCATGATGATAGGAGACTCCATGTTAACAAGACTTTTATATATTCAAACGCTCTGAAAGAGTAGTATCTTGGGTATAATGGACTACTCTTTCATAGTTATTTAATTAATTAAAAACTAAAGTTTTAATATATATACATAATATGAAATATGCCTAATTCTCAGAATTCTAAAATGGTTTAGCATTTTTTGATTTCTGAAAAAAGTATTTCTGATCCTACAAAATGTCGCGAGTTTTCGAGAAATATTTTAAATATTAGTAATTATATAAGAGAAATCTAATATAAGATTCTCTGGAACATTTTATCTATCTGAATATAATAGAACATCTGATAGTCTTCAGTTGGAACGAAAGAAAAGGTTATTTTATATATTTATATATGTAAATTTATGGTTTTTCTTT